AAGAGGGATGGCAAGAGAGGACACAAACTGTTAGGTACACGACACATGAAACTACACGCTACTGAACAAAATATATATAGTTGTATGGATGGACTATTGTTTACTCAAATTCACTGTGATTCATTATGCTGCATACGTAGACAGTATGAGTAAGACTGCTTCACAAAACACCATGAAGTATATTGTAATCTTGTTTGCATAATAACCCAGATAAAAATCATAAATAAAAATAGTTTCCAATTGAAATTCCTTGAACATAATTCTGGACTAAAGAACATGACAACCATAGAACTGGGTCTAGAAATCTGCATTTGACAAATGCCAATTTAAAAAAATCCCATATGCCTTGATTTAAAGCCCATGCAGGTTTGGTACTCAGTTGGGTGGATAATTGCACTCCGTTCCCCTGTTTTACGGGGGTACAATTACAAAATAGAGAAAACTTCTGCATCTAAGTAGCTATGCTAAAATGAGACCGCAGGTCAAATTTCATCTCCTCTTTCTTGACTTCAACATTGAAAGAGAATTAAAGAAATTACTTTTCCCCTTCAATTAGGAGGAAACAATAAATTAAGGTACTGTGAGCACAGAAGCCAAAAGATCCCAAATTTCAAATCACATTCAACAACCAAGCGAGCCAAACCCCTCTACTCCTCTGCCTTCATTCCCCTGCTCTACTCTCTCCCACCTGAATGCGAAGCAGGGGATCAGAGCCCTCTACTTCATAATTACTTTATATTTGTGGTTTGAAAATGAAAAATGCTCATTACAGAGCTCAAGCCTGCAGGGCAATGCTTAACAGCAAATATATTTCTGAAATACACTAGCTCAGGCACTATATTGATTACAAGCTGCAGGATATTATTCTAATGCTATCTGAGGGATCACAGTGGCAACAGTTGAAATACCATGTGCAATCCCAACCACAGCATTTTTTCACTGTATTAGAAAAGAGCTTCAAGGTGGGGAATTCCATGATGAGGTATACACAGTCCTACAGGGAGTAATGACTACAGATGCTATTTGCATCAATGTCCTTGTAGCAAGTACCAGGATGATGGATCACAACTGAGACTACAAACGTAGCTAACAGTCACCCTTTTGAAGGGCACGACTCACTTCATATCTAATATAGTTGCCTGACATAAACTTGGGACTCCTGTATTTATGATTTATTTTAATCAAATATCCTACTTGTGGAAAGCAGTGTTAGCTTCTTCGCATTACAGATACAAATACTATGCAAATGTAAATTTTATGTCCCACTCTTCTTCAGCTCCTATTGTACATTTTAGGCTTGGCAGGATGACAACTGTCATAAGTAAATTAGTTGAAGGTAATATTATAAGGCAGTTTCTGATTTTTTGTTAAAAAGAAGGCAGAGAAAATCTGTGTATCATATGGGTCCATGGGAGGGAGGCTGTCTTTGGTGTGTCCTTTTATAATAAAATGACATATGTTCTTGTACAGTGCAGTTCAAAGAATGAAAAGAATTTAAAGACCTCTTTTTGACATAAAGCATTTTGAGACCCTTACTTTGACAGATTACTTGCTACTTTTCTGTATCTGTAAAACAGGAACTGTTTTTATCTTTTTTTTTTTGAAGTGGTAAATGGATAGATGGTTAATAAAACCCCCATGATTTTAAAGAGATTCTTTCTCCACCATCACCCTTTTTCACCCCTTCAGTCAGAGCACAGCTACACAAACATTTTGTTTACCATTTGGCAAGACTGAAGGGATGGAATAGAAGGGGCAGCATGAACTTCCCAATGAACCAAAACTATTTCCAAAGAGAACAGATCTCGTTTTGGAATGACATCCTATTCACTCATCTGACTCCAACTAGTCATTTCTGGACCGACACCTTGGTTGTACCAAGCACTGTAGTATTCTTTGTTTGCTTGAATATAAGGACAAGATACCTTGAATGAAGCAGATGGACATGCTAAGAATGACATCTCATCCCTTTTACCAAACTAGTAATTTATTGCACTTAGAAGACAAAGTTCTTGTAAAGTAATGAATAGGGGTTTCTACCAACTGCACTTGCCAAGTCAGTTTTCCCAGTCCACACAGTCTCGATATATCATCAACTTTTCAATCAGCAAGAGGGAGTCTCTGAAGCAAATGATTATTTTTTGCTTCCAATTACAGCCAAGGCTGCCTCAAAAGCAGACAGAAACACTTGCTCTGCTTATTCAAATTAGTGTGAGAACATTACTGAGCTAGAACTGCAATGCAATAACACCCTCTACCGAGGCATTCTAGCAAAGACCCACGAGGTGGATGAGGAAAAACAGTAGCATCAAATTTTTATTTCCTCGCCTCCATCATTATACAGCTATGCTACAGGGGTAGGTGGAAGAAGTTATTTTTAAGCTAGATAAACTATAGCTGTCAAGCTAAAGACGCATAATGGAAAGGTATTAAGAACTTGGTAACATGGGAAATGCAGCTGGGACTCTAGCCAAAAAGATTATGTACACCACTTTGTTTTTTGCTCACTGAGGCTATAATGAATAGAGTAAGGGAGGTCTCCGTAATGACTAGCAAAGGTAGACTGGAAACAGAAAAGACCTGATCAATAGTACCCTAAAAATAGAAAGAGTCCTCTTTTTTTTTTTTTTTTTAAACACCTAAGCTCACACCGGGCATAAAGTTGGAGTAAGTCTGGCCTGCAGTTGGAGTTTTACACAGCATCATGGGCACACACACATGCATCCATACACTCACCTAGCTTGAAAATGCTTTTTTGACTTATCTCGTTCTTTGGATGACCATAAAATCAAATGGGAATAAGGGCAGTTCCTTCTAGGCAGAAAGCACAGAGCGATTTGTTCTGGTGTTATTTTACCAAACACAGTGGCAGCTGAAGCAAACACACCAACTATGCTTAACTTCAGATGGGAAGTAGAGAATCTTACGTTCAAGAAGACTTAGGAGTAGAATATACGCTAGCACAACGCAGCTGTTACACTAGCATTTGCCTGAGATGCTAGAACTAACAGTACAAATCAACACTAAAAGTGTAGTAGATTATTTAACAATCAAACTGTGTGGGACGAGAATAGACCTCAACACAGGTTTATAAATAAATCCAAGACCACCTACACTTCTTTCTGCCATGTTCACTGAAGCTTCTACTGCATCTTCCCACAGCAGGCGTCTATCGTAAAGATTTACATGTTGCCCTTTAGAATAGTATTTTTGCATCACTTTATACCAGAAAGCAGGGGAACATCATAAAACAACTCACAACTAAGCAAAAATTGTTGCTTTATTGATCAAGTTACACTATGCTTAGTACTCTCCCTCACCTAAAAAAAGATAAAAATAAAGTGCCAGGGTTATAAACTCCTCCGTATTATCATTATCTTCTGTAATTAAATGACTGAAATGTAAGCAATCAGTTTGATTAAAATTGCCATCAAAATCAGTAGTTTTACAGTGCTATAAATTGTAGTTTTACAAATCTAGACTTTCAACAATGCCCAAGACAGGTGAGTATTAAAATGCATATTTTCACATCATTTAAAATGCTCAACAGTTAAAGAGTTTGTCTTCAAACTCCTTCATTTGTATTCTGCACTACCAATTATCATTTATTTCAGGAAAGGCACCAGCTGTGCAGTTCCTTTTCCGAGAAGATCCACAAAGCAAAGCTGGCATCTGTACCAAAGGGAACAATACACCGAGGGTTTAAAGAAACTCCTTTTAGATTTTCAGATGTAAAGTAACTCCCGGGCTAACTGAAAACTGAAGCAACTCAGACACTTTATTAATTAAAATAATACTCACCAACAAGGAAGGGGAGAGCAGACTTCACTTCCAGTATGTGGTTTTGTTTTTTTTTAAACAATAGCAAATAAAACTCAAACCACCTCCAGCTTGTACATTCCACAGTTACTTTCTTTAACATGCATTTAAGTTATGAAGAAATATCTGTAAACACTTACCTCCCTAACAGATAGCTGTGGGGGCAGCGACACAGAAAATACAAAACTAGTGAACTGGTAGTCAGCAGACTTAACCTTTTGGCACATCTGTAGGAGAAGGATTTTAGTATCAAGCCACAGCAATGGAAGTGAGTTGATAATCTCAGCATATCCTTTATTTTAGTGTAATCACTGTAAATCCATGTTAATACACATTCAAATAGATGCTGAACATACAGACCAGAGGAATCCCTAACAACTCATTGAAATATAAGCTTATATTGTTAAAAAAAAAAAAGTTACTAATAAACTGTATCCTTATTGCTATGAAACAACCAAACTCACTATTTTAAGGCTAAGACCAATTGTATAGAGAAATCTTAGTGCAATGAATTACACCACAGTGACCAAGGGCTAGAACAGCTGACTCAGAATGTCTTTCTTCATGGCAGTGATACAACTTTAAGAAAATAAAATTGTTTAAGATCCTGGGATACAACAGGAACAAACAGGTATCCACAGTATTAATTCATAATCACTCTTCATTGTAAAAAGTCGTGTTTGTCACTGGAAATTCAGTAAGAACCCAAACACACATCAAACATTTTAAAGCAGGCTAGTGAGAGCTGACGGCTAGATGTCTCTACTGGAAGCTTAAACACACATGGAAGAGTTGTCCAAAACATCAGTCATTTTAGTGAATGTTAAAGGAGAATTCTGAGCTTTCAAGGTGAAATCAACATCTCAGATAAGGAAATCTCCTTATCAAATAATCTGGTTTTCTGGCGCCTTAACAAATGCCGTCAATTTTCCATTGCAACTCAAGAAAGTAACTCTGAAACAAGTCTTAGAAGTGGATTCTGTAACAATATAGATCCTTTGCCACTGGAAACAAAAAAGAAACACGCACTGCAACAACAGAAACTATATACTACACTTTCTGTTTAGTCCCATTTTTAGATACAGTCATGCTATTAAACCAAAATCTTTTCAATTAAAACACAAATTTCTCAAATGCAAGTGCGGTTTTTCTAGCCGATATTTCAATTTGCCACATAAGCAATTTTATTGCTTGGAGATGACGACTGTAACACTCATTACACTCATATTTTCCCCATTATCTACAATCTGTTGTGTCACCAAAACATTTTCTTCCTCCATGGCTTTCTAAATAGTAGTACCTTGTAAAGACAGACTCATGCTATACTAGGAACATGTAGCTAAGTTGAAGAGCACAGCAGTTGATGCCTCCTCATTTTGCCTTCACATAAGAAAAGCAAAGAGAGGCCACCATCTACAGTGGGGCTTTCCTTATAATCTAAGCAGCTGAACCTCAGGTTATCTCCTAAATTCAGATAACCACGTATCTGTTAGTCCTTTTCTTAGGATAATGTGCTCTTAGCAGTCATTCCATTGCACCTGCGCTGCTATTTTTTCAAAAGGTTACATTATGACAAGGCCTGGGTAAAATCTGGTCACAGGGACAGGTTTTATTTCCCAGCGGCACAGGAGGAAGGCACACCTGTCCGTGAGCAGTACATAGCTGAATGGCGCCATCTACATTTCAAATATTCAAAAATATTCAATGTTCTCATTGGTTTGCCAGTATCTTTCTCTCAATTTAACTGCATGGTGTTTTTCATCACCAGCTCTGTACTGTAGGCCCCAACGTACACAAGCTTCAGAAAAAGCACACAAAAAGACTAAGAACAGGTATTTACCTTTTTAACAAAGTCAGCCTCGCTGAACTCCTGAAGAATTCCCAAACAGACATTGCAAACCTTCACAGCTGAGTCTTCCACTGCAGTATTTTCATTGTTAACCAAAGGAATCTGCTGGAGGGCTCCATTGTGGTTCAGATCATCAGGCCCTTCTACTGCGTGTTCAAGTCTGATTCTCTTGCAAGGTGGATCAGCTACGTCAAAACAAACTGTATCTTCTTTTTCTTGATTATTTTTCAGAAATTCTTTTAAATCCTTCATCAAATCCTAACACAAACGGAGGAAACACACTGTTGTTGGTTTTTTCCTCTTTTTCCAATGCTGTAACAAGCACTTACAAACATAGCCATCCCAGTTTAGCCTTAGTGTTTGTAATTAATAACTTGGAATTTATACCAAAAGACATCTACACAATTAAAAAGTTCCAAGATGTATTTCTCTCAAAATGTTATCCAGAGAAATTGAATTTTGCTGAACAGACTTCTTTATCGTCCTTTTTACAGACCTGACTTGCAGAAATGCATTTATCTTTGGCTCCATCGCTATTCAATGAAAATAGATGTTTATTGCGTTTTTGTCATTTAGGTTATGTTAGAATTTAATTCCTCCAACTCCATTAGCCCAGATGACTAGGAAGAGAGATGGCTAGTATAGTACAAGGAAATGAGAGCAGATACAGGTGAGGCTGAAATTAAACACACAGAGCAAGAATAAAGAGTGAAGCCTACAAAAATTAAAGGATGGGCTGGTGAGGAGAGAGAATTACCTGCATGTCTCTGAATCTCAGGAAGGATGAGAGAGAAAAGACATACTTCAGAAAAAATATTTATTGAAAGGTCTTCAGTAACAAAGACAGCAGTTAATGTGTTGTTGCAACTCAGAGGAAAATAAGTTAGAGATGCAAAAGAAGAAGAAAAATGGCATACAGAATGAACACTTGTGAAATGATTGTTAAAAAATGGAAAAGCATAAGGAAGAAAGATGTTAAAAATGAATTCTGGAGAGTCTAAACTTGAACAAAGGTGAAACAATCAAGAGAAGACACCAGAAGATGCAAGCATAAAGACAAGGGATTAGACCAGGTAAATGGAGATGTTTATTTCGCCTATAAAATGAGAGAGGTCTCAAAGAACCAATATGGAGGAGGAGCAAATAGCCAAAACCAAGTTGAGGAGTATCAAATACAAGAACAAAGGCAAGAATGATTGTGCGCAGCTAGGAAAAAATTGAAGAACACTGAATTTCAGCACTAAGGTCAGTTAAAAAGGATGCCTAATAACACTGTGTTTGACTGATTGAAAAAGGAAGATTTAACCTGTGCTCTGCAATTCTTCAGTTACATCCATCTACCAATTCAACTGAAAGAAGAAGGAAGTATGAGGCGAAAAAGTTTGGAGTATAGATGGTTCCTCCTTTGCATCAGCTGCACTGCCCACTGGCCCTTTACTACTTATGACATTAAAGGAAAAAGAGCAGAGGGAACAGTCAGAGCTGCTCCACTTCAAAGGTGATAGAGCCATGCTGCGTAGAAGCTAACACGCCCTGCTTTCTGGTGTTTTCAGGAAATACATAGCAACTTTCACAGTCAAACTTAACATTTAACCCACAACTCTTACATTCTATGATTCTTGTAATTTCTCAAAATTGCACAGTATAGCACCAGCCATTTTTCATAACTCATTTCACAAAGCATTTTTCTCTCAGGCAAATAGCCCAGGGATACAACCATCTTCTTCTCTAAGGCAGTGCAAAGAACACTGCATTCATACGTTCACACATTCTAATCAGGAATACAAAGAACAAACCTTGTATGGATGTCTATAAAGTGTCTGTGATCCCACGCAGCAGAACCTCAAAATACATCGTGGGCAAGTGCCAGTGTTCAGTAACAGCTGAACAATTGGTCTGTCCTTTTCTGTTAGCGAAGACATGCTGCATAATTCTAAAATTTAAAAAAGAAAAGAAAAATAGCTTAAACACAATTCAGCAATTCAACAATAAAAGGACCTACTTAGCTGCACCATATTTAGAATCGCTGGATTTTTTTTTTTTTTCTCTACAGAAAGCTTAGGATACATGTTTGTCTTAAATCAAAGGCACCAGAAAACTGGAAGACCAACCTCAAAAGACCACTAACTTGGAGAAAAACTTCTGTACTTCCTAGAAAAAACTGAAGTCCAGAGTTCTGACAAACTTTGAGCTTTTGCCCAGTTTTATCTTTGACAAAGTGTATTAAATGGCACATTATTCTTTACTCAATGGAGAAGAAGGGTGGAGCTAAGACATATTAAGCCAAATGTAAAATGGAAATTCCTTCTAAAATTGCTGTGACTAAAGAATCAATGTCTTAAAAATCACACATACACAAAAACAGATGCCACCTCTTTTTATCATACAAAGCCCTAAAGGCAAAAGAAGCCTTTTTTATCCATTAGCCCCTTTAATTTTGTGCGATTTCTTGTTTCCCATCTCAAACATAGGACTCTTGTTTTTGTGAGAAATCTCGTAATGCTTTTTTTCTTAAAAGATTATGGCTAATTCAGTTTTCTGTCATTCTCTCTGCCCAGAACTTTAGAGCAGTTTAATTTCTTTGGCTGAAATTTAATAATGGGATAGAACTCTCAACATCTTTTTAAAAATATGGAAAAGGAAAGATTCCTAGTGAGGTGCTCACCCTTGCTAGTTATCTAGAAAACTTTAGAAGGCACATAAGAATAACCACAGTTGTTCAGACCAAAGGTTCAAATCGTCTGTGTCACCCAAAGTGGCAATAAACAGATGCCACAGGAAAACATGTGTGTGCAGGGCATACACTTCTGCCAAGTGCTCTCTGCCTCCAGTTATTTTGGGTTTGGGGGATTCTTTCAATCTCATGTGGTTTGCCTGTTGGCAAACCTTAACAGATCTTTCCTCCAATCCTTCTCCAGTCTCTCTTTGAAAATCTTTTGCCTCTACATCCTTTGGCAAGGAATTCCACAACACCTACTGACAGATAAACCACCTGATTTTGTTTTGGGCTTAGCTCCTGAAAGCAACATCTGATATCCCCCTAGTTTTTGTATTTCAAGAGACAGCGTAGAGGAAGGATATCTTGGCATTCTCCATGCCAGCCACAACCTCTTGCACCTCTAACGTCCTATCCTCAGGAGTAACTTTCACAGAAGTATCTCAGCCATGGAGAACCTTCACAGCATGGGAAAAGCTATAAGTTTAGTTTCTCCTGGATTTGGATTCTTTATCGTAAGCTGTAAAAAACAAGGACTAGCTAGAAAACTTTACCCTGCTTTTAAAAAGAAAAACAACAAACACATACTTTCGGGTACCTGTTCGTTCGACTCAGCTTCCTGAGACTTAAATACTGCCACAATACTGTTTCACGCTACCACCGCCTGAACGAAGGGATTTCAGGGGAAAAAAAAAAAAAAAAAAA